TCTTAACAGGTACAATATTTGAGATCCACAACGGGTACTTCACTTCTCGAATAAATCCAGCTTCGATGAGCTTGTTGACCTCCGCTTCAATTTGTGTTACCAACTCAAGACGAAACACTCGTTGTGATTGCTTTATATGACGTGTTCCCTTTTTTATCCCCAAATGATTAATAGCTATCATGGGACTAAGGCCCGACATTTCTCCGTACGACCAAGCAAAAACGTCTTTGAACTCAACCAATAACTTGAAGTATTTCCTCTCTTCTTCTGGTGTAAGAAGTGCACTAATGAAGATTGGACGCGGATCTTTTAGAGTGCCTAGATTTAGTTTCTTGATGTCGTCTATGGTTGATTGTACGCCATCCTCCAGTTGAGGGGGAGCCTCTTGAACATCATTATCTGTATCATCAATGTCTGGACCTTCTTCCATTGTTATGTGATAGGATGATTGTGTCAAGTTTGAATCTTCCATCCGACTTCCCACTGTGATGGTTTCATCTTCCTCCTTATTAGTTTCTCCATGAAACTGGTTGGTGGCAACAATTGTGCTTTTTTCACCTTCAAAGAACCATCGGTGGTGATTGACAATACAACATTTCTCTTTATACGTGATGGGAAAACACTATGAATCTCTTTGTCATCAGTTACATCACAAGAATCTTGATTTTCATGCTCCAGCAACCTTCTTTCAGATAATGACTTTTTTTTGGTTCCCAAGCGATGAAATACAGAAGTCTTTGAGGTGGTGGCATATTCGTCCACTTGTTTAGAGGATCATCTTTCATCCTTGCGGCCCAATCTTTCAAATACAGAGACACGGGGTGTCAATCTTCCAATGCATTCAAACACCGAAGCCCGTTGTGGTGTTTTACCCTCCTTAGATTCCTTCGTCTTCTCTATAGAGGTGTAGTGGGATGAAGTTATTTCTTTCCCCTTCTTAGATGAAATCCGAAGAGGCTCCGGCAAGCTAAATCCTAACCCAAACTTAGAAGTGGCGACATAATATCCTTGTTTTCTCAACCGCATTTGAGACTTTGTAAGCCCATGTATCTTTTCACCGGTGACTTCCTCCGTGAGTTCTCCTAACTTTGCTGGATTTGAGAAGTTGTAACCTGATTTTTTCAAATAATGTGAAGACCTTTTGATCAAAGTTCCATTTTATCTGACCAACTTGGGTATTTCCTTTGGAAGGCTCCAAAGTGAAAGACGGGACTTGTGCAACTGGGACAGTCATTTTCTCCTTCAAATCTTGGAATGTTGTGTGACTCAATTCTTTCCTCGGTGGGTGAACTTGTTGAGTACATTCCTCTAGCAGTGATTGTCCCTTTTTTCGACGTTCGCGTGGAATATAGCAAAAAATTGGTTGCTCATCATCAATATTGGTCTGCATGTCTCTTTTAGATGGTGAAAGCTTAATGGAAACCTCTTCTGTTCTCTTCTTAGACATCTTGATAGCGGCCCATTGAACTTTACTATCTTCGAGATCAATCGAATAGGCTTCTGCATGTTTCTCCATATTTGATCTTCTAGAATCTAAATAGAATTTTGCATCTGCAAAATATGACTCCATCTCAGTGAAAGGATTGATGTCTGTATCAATTTTGACTACTTCACCATCTTTCATATACTTCATGCATTGATGCAAAGTAGATGGCACCACTCCATTTTCATGAACCCAAGGACTTCCGAGCAACAAGTTGTATTATGTTTTGTCATCTATGACATGAATCAAAGTGTTTGATTTCAAGTCGCCAATGGACAATCGTACTCGAATCTTCCCTATGGATCGTTGTTCTCCTTGATTGAAACCTTGGATCGTTAAGTAACTTTTGGACAATTCATCAGTAGAGATCCCAAGTTTTTTCAGAACAACTTTTGGCATGATATTGACCGTCGAACCACCATCGATTAGTATGCGATTGAGATGTTGTTCTCTAACAGACCCTACAACAAACAAGGGCCTATTATGTAGCTTAGACCCTAACAACAAGTCATCATTTGTGAAGGCAATTGTAGCACAACATGGGGCAACTTTTTCATCAGTTTGATGTTCTTGTGTTATTGTTGGATTATGCTCACCTTTGCTTCCATTTGTTTCCTCTGTGCTGGAAATAACATGTGTTGCACCAATTGGACTACTACAAAAGAATTTTTCAGGAAAGAATTCATCCAATGTAATGGGCCTTCGAACCTTCTGCGATGAAGAACCATTGATATTTTGGCTAGTACAAGGCTTGATGCTTTTTGATTGTTGTAGTTGATTCACATCACTCCTTGTTGCTCTTGTCTTAGGAAGTCGTATCCTAAAGACTGCTTGATGTCTCCGCTTCTTATGAGTAACCAAAGTCCAACCATCAGCTTCATTTTCTTTGTGGTTGTCTATCTCTAGTGAACCCTCAAGAGTTTTCCTTGGAAAATCAACTTCAATAGGCGTTAAACTTCCAAATTGCAAGAAAGTGGACCTTGGGCACTTATTTTGATTTGGTGCTACACTAGCATGTGCCTCCGTTGTTTCATCCTGGTCAATGATGATTTTTCCTTCACTTACTAACATCATGATTTTCTCCTTCAAGATAAAGCATTTACTCGTCGGGTGGCCAAGGACACGATGAAACTGGCAGTATCTAGGATCACCAACCTTATTGATTTCTTTAGGCCTCTTTGATTCAGGAAGATCAATAACTTTCTTGATTCAGGAAGATCAATAACTTTCTTAGTTAGTAATTCATCAAGAATCATAGGTACATCTGAATCTGGAAATGGGTAGACCTTTGCCTCTAACTCCTTTAAGGTTGGGCGTCGCCTCTCCTCCCTTGGATATTGACTTGGAGCTTCCTCTTTTTTTAGTTTACTCTTGGTGGTGACCTTTACAGAAGTTGCTTTCACCGCCATAGATTCCTTAGTCTGGATCTTTAAGGTCATACATTTCTTGAACTCCTTCTTTTCCTTTGTCAGATCAGCAAAAGGAGATGCCTTCCCATGACTTGCGATGCTCAACCCCATGTCATGCGCTCGTGTAGCAAGTTCCTCAAAAGTTCGCGGTTTGATTCCTTGTAGTATGTATAGAAGTCCCCAATGCATCTGAATGCACATTTCCACAGCAGATATTTCATAAAGACGATCTTTGCAGTCCAGACTCAACGATCTCCAACGATTGATGTAATCCACCGCAGGCTCATCCTTTCTTTGCTTAGTATCGGTCAACTCTATCATGCTTACAGTTCGGCGAGTACTGTAGAAACGATTGAGGAATTCCTTCTCGAGCTTCTCCCAACTATCAATGGACTCGTGTTCCAGGTTGATATACCAGTCAAATGCATTCCCTTTCAGCGAACGAACAAACTGTTTTACCAAAAGGTCACCATGCGTTCCAGCATTGCTACAAGTTTCAACAAAGTGAGCGATATGTTTTCTCGGGTTTTCCTTTCCATCAAATTGTTGTAGTTTTGGTGGTTGATAGTTTGTTGGCATTGATAGACAATTAATCCGTCTGGTATATGGCTTGGAGTAATACAAGGAACTTTGTGGTGTTCCGCCATATTGAGCCCTGATAGCATTCGTTATCATGTCTTGCAACTGTTGGACAGATAGTGCAGCAACTGAAGCAGATTGTTTCTCCTTTTGAAATTTTGACTTTGTTAGAGATTCCTCAACGTCCTTGTTTCGTTGATCAAAACCAAATGGACAAGTGGGGACATGACTTGACTCTCCAGGTGTGAAGGCCTCTAACTTGTTCATAAGTTGAGCAATATGAAGATTTTTGTCATCAACGGATTTCTTCAATGCCTCAATGGTTTGCTCCATCATCGCAAACTTCTCGTCCATGTCAGTTTAGTCAGTCATCAAAGCATTGACATTCATTGAAGTTGGACAATCCATTGAATCTTCAGATTCACCAAAGTTTGAGCCAATTTGAGAAAATTCTCCAAAGAACACAGACGCAAGATTACCCCTAGATGTTGCGCTTACGATCATCGTATGAGAGTTGTTGTTTTTCATCGCCTCCAAAGAAGTGAAGTATACAGATCCATCTAGCCCACTGTTCTTGAACTTACGCCGAGTAATCGGGTCAACATGATTGAGATAAGCAGATACGACATCAGTAGAGTCCTTGTATGAAAAATCACTACTCTTTCTGAATGCCATTGTAGTAGTTGCCTTTGTAGTTTCTGATTTGCAAGAGAAAGAGATAAAGAGCAGAATCGGTCCCACTGGGCGTGCCAAATTTGTTCGCAACAAATTTCCTTAAGCGCTGAAAATTAACTGCAAGCAAAATAAATAAAAGAAAAATGTTATTTTTATTGATGAATTGTTGTGAGTACAATTCTGTTGTTCTCTTGATTCTCTCTCCTAAGATTCTCCAAGATTCGAGGGCCTTCAGTAGCGTATTTCTCAAAATGTTGGATGATGTAGACCTCCTTAAGATGTTGTCGATCTCCGGGAACATCAAAAAGCGATTCGTCGTTTCAAGTCGATCTCCGAGAAGAACTCTGTTGATGACTCCTTCGAAGAGCTATGTAGTTGATGGTGTAACTTCCTCTAATTGCAGAATGTTTGTTGAAGTGTTTTCTTGATTCTCCTTAGAATGTCATGTCCATCCCCTATTTATAGTTGTAGGGGTGGACAAGGTTGCTTGTGATTGGCCAAAGAATGTCATTTTGACACTTGGCGGATTGTGATTGGTTCTTGCATTTGACTGAGACTACCACCTCATTTGGACACATGGCGTCACCTTGTTGATATTGGATGCCTAGTCACCGTGACACGTGGCATGAGTTTGGGCTTCAAGGTGAAATGGACCTTGGATTTAAATTTAATAAGATGGACTTATTTATTTGTAAAGCCCAAATTAATCATTCAGCCCAAATGAACATGGATTTAATTCAAATTTTGTATAAATTTGATCCAATACAATTTATATGTCTACAGTATCTTCTTTCACTTTTTCAGACACTTTCAGTAGAGGCAAGTTTCACTATTCAAGTTAGAAGCCAAAAACATCAATGACCAACCCAAACTTCATTCCATGTAAAAACTTATATTTGCAGGTTGCAAAAATATAGATACAAGGATGGACAATGTTCAACATGATACTATACTTTCTGTTAATACAAAACCGGACATTATGAGAGAGGCTAACTCGAAAGTTTAATGTGCATGTGAAACTTGATTACGATCTGCATTCCAGCTGCTGCTTAATCTTTCTTATCATAACCAGCCACAACATGTGAAAGACGAAGAAGGAAGTCGACCTGTCTGGCGTATGTATTGAACTTGCTCTGTAGTTTTTTCAGCTTGCTGATTTCTTCTAGCTTCAGCTGCAGCACGCTTTTCTTCTGATTTTTGTCTTGCCATTGCAATCTTCTTCACCATCTTTGCTTGAGCTTGTGCTCTCATTTGTTCAACTTGTGCCTGAACGATACATATCATGAGTGCAAAATAACATGAAAATTTTCCATTAAATTAAGCCCTGGATCTTTAACTCATGGTAAAAGTTTAATATGATGCTAAAAGGCCTCGGTATGAGTGCGTGACACAGGTTGGTTCAATTTCTAAGAGGTGTCTCAGTAGGCAGAGTTTTGATATACAAACATCCATAATCAACTTCAGATCAATTAACCATGTCCAACATTCTCCAAGAGTGAGGCTTTTAAATCACGGAAGAACATACTTTACTATATAGACAATCAGATGTACCTCTATTTTCCTCAATTCTGCCTCTAGCTTTGCTTTGTGCTGGCTTTCCCAAGCTTGGATTTTTATCTCTTCACGCTTATATCTGGAAGATCAATAGTCTTTCTGTTAATTCATAATTAACAGTAGAACATAGATTTTAAAATGTGTTTGAAACAATTCAAAGTTTAATATTGGAACAACCTTGCAGTGTCTTTTGACTTTTCCACTTCCTCCCAAGCAGCTGCCCTTTTAGCATATTCCATTCGTTCAGCCTCAGCAGCATCAGCCTTGCATTTATCCTTCTCATCTTTGCTCGCCCAAGCAGCTATATTCATTTTACCAAGTTGGACACCAAGGGCTACAATCTCTTTTCTTGTCTTCATCTTTAATTCTTCCTCCGACAATTCCCTTTTATTGTTTTCTGTTGAAGTTTGAGAAGCATTGTCAATGTAATTCTCTGTAGGCGTCGGAGCTGGTTCTCCTCTACGAGGTGTAGATGGGATTGAAGAAGTGGGACTGCGGAGTGGAGTTGTTGCACCAACGGGTGTAGCCGTTCTTGAAGGTTCTTGACTTGGAATAGGTGTCATTTCTGTTCCCATATCTCTCATGGAGACTGATCTTATTGCAGGGCCAACTGCATTGATATTCAATCAAACAGTTCAGATTAGCACGATATAAAATCAATGTTCTATATAAGAGGGAAATCATCAAACTTAGTTAACTATTTAATCTGTAATGTGTGTATTGAAATTCAATTACAGTTCTATAACAGCACCGTTTTCAGTACAATAACCTTAGGATACTTTAGCAAAGACTTCAACCAGATCTTATGCTTCCCGGCAGAAGCATAGCAACTTAAATCATACCACTCACATACCACCCAAAAATAGACTAGTCATTGCATTGGTTAAAGATACAGAGCAGGCCAAACCATCAAGAGTGTGGATGAAACAATAAATACATGCATCATTATTTAGGTAAGTACCAGGGCATAAATTTTCCTGATGTATGTATTCTACTTGAGGCACTATATTAACCGTCAATCTTCGGTAACACCTGAGGCCGTAGGATTGACAGTGCTCCATCTGAAAATCCAATGCATTGACCTCAGTATACACCTTTGTCGATACATATGCTAGATGCCTACAATAAAATGTGACGATTCTTCATGCCTCTATGAGTGGCATAAGATTCTACTGGAGGCATACAATCAGTATTTTAATTCAAGCAGTTAACATTAGTAGGACCGACAATAGTTCATCCTAAAACCTCACCCTCCCTCTTGATGCTTCCCCCGTCCCCTCCCCTGGTTAAAGTGTAAAAATCTTGAAGAATATTTACATTAAGTTAGGGCAGTTAAAATCAACATTAGAACAAAAGAATCCATAATGTACCTGTTCTATCGTCAGTCAAACAAGAGTCCCCACTGACCACCTCAGTCAAATCCTTACTTTCAGGGCAAAGGTCAAGTGACACGGCATTCGGCCCGTTTCCTCGACTTTGAGAACCAGGATGATCAAAATCAAACTTCTCGGGGACTAACTGACATGCCGGTTGACAAAAATCTACCTTTTAACGGCTAATTTACTTTCATAACTAGTCGATTCTGGAGCAACTCTAACCATGCTAGTGGCAGGGCCCCGGTATGGTTGGTTCTGTAATTGAACCTTCTTGGAATGATTAGGTTGCACATTTTGCCTATTCATTATCCACTTCTCGGCATCATTCCACTTGGAAGACATAGGGCGTGAAAATGACCTTGATGTTATTGAATGGTGGTGCATTGATCTCTCCCCTTTATGAAACTCAAAGCTGGATGTACTATCATAATCAAAATTCTCATCTTCACATCCTTTAACTGGATGGACTGAACTAGAATTTCCGCCATCCATCTTGGAAGATTGCTGTCTTTTCACACGAGCAGAATCTCCATTTACTTTTGGCAGGCAAGAATTCAAATCCTCGTCACCTTGCCTAGAATTTCCTGGCAATTTATTTTCTGTAGCTTCTAAATTGCAATCTGCATAACAAAAGGGCAGTTAAAACATATTTCCTCTCCTAGCAACTCAACATGGGTTACTGTGAAAAATATTTTGACACTATGATGTTACTTAAAGCTAATTACAGGTAACAGCATATAGTAAATGTGGATTGCAACTGAAAAGTAGGATAAATCAAAGACTGTTTCAAGTAACCTAATAATTTGAACTCTCAAAAAGAATTAGCCCTCCCAACATCAACAAAAAGAATATACTATCCTAGAGGAACATATCCAAACTACAATTTAGTCAAGCTGCATCAAGGGAAAAAAAGTGGGAGCTGGGGGTAGTTTTTGAAGGTCGAGGATTTTCACTCAAGAGAAGTGGGAAAAAAAACTGAGATAATTTAATGTATAGTATGTACTCCCACCGTCCCAATTTAAGTGTCTTACTTACCATTTTGTTCTGTCTTTCTTACTATATTTAGTAAAATTTTCAATTTCAACATTCTATGTGACAAGTTTAACACCACACAATTTTATAGACTATACACACCTTTAATTTAAACCACAAGATTAAAAAGTTTTCGTTTAATTTGCTAAACTTGGTGTCTAGGCAAAGTAAGATATCTAAATTGGGGGTATATACATTAACTCTTTTTCCACCTATCTACACATTATTGTGGTGGATCCAGCAGTTCACAAAAATATTGAATCTTGTAAAGCTAATGAAAGTTAAATTTGAATGAAGAAATGAACATACACTCTTCCTCAAAATCTCCACCACTTTGGGCAGCCAATAAACTGTTGTTGACAAACTCAGAATCGTCGTGAAGCCTAGCAGGTGAAGTTGTTGAGGAATGACTATTTGATCCTTCTTTCTTCTTCTTTTGATGGTGAGGCCCTATAAGCTTCATCCTCAGCTTACTTGGAGATATTATACCACTCTGAAAGTAGACATAAACAAAAAATATTCAAGAAACCAAGCAATTTTCCCAAAATTAACCAATTGAAAAGACAAACCCACACTGTAATTTTAACAACACATACAAAACCCACAAGTTTGCAAGTATTTCATAGGAAGAAATGCATATTTTGAGTGCAGAGAAAAGTTCCAAAATTTGTACCTGCACTTTGTGAATCCTTTCGTACTCCATTAGATCCTATTTTCTTCTAAACCACTCTGTGTGTGTGAAAAGGAGAGAGATAATTTTAATTCTCTCTTCTTTTCTGCTGTGAAATTGCTGACTGCAGAGTTTTTTTTGTTTTGTTTTGTAGAGGAAGTGAGGGAGGGGGTGATACTGATGGGAGTTGTAAAATTAAAAATATTTGGGGTCGGCGATCTTTTGCCGATTCTTTGACCTTTGACTGCCCCTCATGTTTTTCGTCTGCCCATTCATTTCCGCTTCGGAACAAGTTATTTCGAATGAGTTATTTAATTATATATGTGAGATAACGTATTTTATCAATAAGGTATAACTCATAGAATAAATAAATTCAACACCATCTAATACCTCCAATCAACACAGAATAAATAATCCTACATTTTATCCCTAAATTATTACTATATCTTATACCTCACATCAAACAACTCCTTAGTAATACTATTCTTTCCGTTTTATATTAGCTATTTGTCGACTGCGTTACTAGAAATATTTACCTCAAATTAGTTTATCTGTTTTATTTTACTTGACTCATATATTAAAAATAAATAGATTTTATTTTACTTGTCTGTGTTAATAAATCAAGAAATTTTATTACTTTTTAAAATTTATTCTTAATATTAAATATCTACGTAAAATAGTAATAGTCAAATTAAAATTTCAAAGTATACTCTAACTCGGGATCCAATCCCTAACTCAAGAACCTCCCTTTTTTGGTACCTAACCTCAACTCAAAACCCAATTCTTGTAACCCAAGTCGAGTTCAACCATAAATCGGGCCCCGATACCGAACTAAGACCCGCCCCAACCTTGTAACTGACACCGAATCAAAGCCTAATTGGGACCCACCCGACCTGCACCAAGATCCGACCTTTAACCTCGACCTAACCTCGATCCCAACTTGAAACTCGATCTCAACCCCAAATCAATAAACAACCTGAGACCCGATTTAAGATCCAACATATGCCCTCATTTTGGGAATCGATACCCACCATAGCTCGAGTAAGGGTCGAGTCCCAAGTTGAAATTATGGTCGGGTCCCAGGTTGGGCCAGGATCAAGTCCCGACTTGGGGTCGAATTTCGTGTTAGGGTTGGGTCCAGTTGGGGACAGGTCCTACATCAAGGTCATGGTAGGTCTCGAGCTAGGTTCAAGGTTAGTGTCATGTTTTCTGTCTGCCCATTCATTTCCTCAAACTTATTTTATCACTAAGGTATACTCCCTCCGTTCACATTAGTTGATCACTTTTCATTTTGCACGATGCTTAAAAAATTATAAATAAGAAGAGAATTTTATTAATTCACCTCTTAAAAAATTCTTGGTAATTTTACAAGCAAATGTGAATACTTTTTTAAAAAAAAATTGCAAGGGTTATATAGGAAAATTTTAATTAATTTTTCTTGATTTAGCAAGGTGGACAGTTAATATGTTACAAATATTTTTAGTATAATGATCAATTTATATGGGACGGAGGGAGTAAGTGATGGGATAAATAATTTATGGATGACCTAATACCTCCAATCAAACACATGATAAATAGTTCTGCATTTTATGCCCAAGATTATTATATCTTATACATCACACCAACAACTCTTTAGTAATACTATTCTTTCCATTTTATACTAGTTGTCTACGATGCTAGAAATATTTACCTCAAATTATTTTCATCTGTTTTATTTTACTTGACGCATATATTAAAAATGAATACATTTTATTTTACTTGTCTTTGTTAACAAATCAAGAACATTTTATTACTTTTTAAAAATATTATTCTTGATATTAAATAACTACATAAAATAATAATAGTCAAATTAAGAGTTTCGAAGTATACCCTAACTAGGGATCCAATCCCTAACTCAAGAATCTCCTCATTTTGGTACCTAACCCCAACTCAAAACCCAATTCTTGTAACCCAAGTCGAGACTCAACCATAAATAGCGACTCGATCCCAAACTAAGACCCGCCCCGAACTTGTAATCGATACCGAATCAAAGCCTAAATTGGAACCCATCTGGCCAGTACCGAGATCCGACCTTTAATCTCGACCTGACCTCGATCTCGAACCCAAATCAATAAACAACCTAAAAACCGACTTAAGATCCAACATATACCCTCGATTTGGGAATCGACGCCAACCTTAGCTCGAGTAAAGGTTTGAGTCTCAAGTTGAAATTATGGTCGGATCCCACGTTGGATCAAGATCAAGTCCCGACTTGGGGTCGAATTTCGTGTTAAGGTTGGGTCCAGTTGGGGACATGTCCTACATCAAGGTCAAGATGGTTCCTGAGTTGGGTTCAAGACTAGCATCAGGTTTTGAGTTGGTGATTGAGGTCGAGTCTTGAGTCGGAGTTAGAGTTGAGGTCGAGGGCGAAAATTTGATTTCTAGTCCAGGGTTTGGGTCAGGGTTGTGTCACGAGTTAAGGTTAGGTCTAAGTTCAGGGTTGGGTCTGAGTTTAAGGCCAGGGTTGGGTCCCAAATTGGGATTGAGTCTCGAATTAAGGTTAGGTATTATGTTAAGGTCGAGTCTCGAGTTGGGTTGTTAGTGTAAGCATCTAAAGTTTCAATCATGAAATACAGTAAACAGGAAAAGAAAAATAGTAAGCAAACAATAATATTTGTATTTGAAGAAATGCGAAGGTTACAATCTTTATAAAATCTCTTAAAAAAAGATATGTAATCCCCTGATTCTTCTCTCCACAGATGTTCTTGATTTGGCGGAATACTTGCGGCTCAATACTTGGAGCGAAGACTTCTTTGTATGCGGAAGACTTCCAGATCACCAATGAAGAGCAACTATGTATTTCTGTGTGTATGTATGTGTGTCTCTCTTTTGGTCTTATGAAGACCTCTTTATATAAGCTTGAGCTAGGACTTTAGGGGTATTTTGGTTCAAGCAATTTTGACCCCTGGGCATGAAGAACACGAGTTGGGCTCATCTTGTCAATTTAATGGACTGGCCCAAATGTTATTTGGAAGTCATATAATTCTGACATAAATATTAATCCGACTTTATTAACCAGTAATTTGACTTGGTCAACGTATCATGAATTTAAGATTTAATCCAAATTTAGTATGGATTTATCAATAAAACTTCATTGTCTACAAATGCCCCCTGCTTCGAGGCTTGTTGGGATGCTCGATTTATCGAACTTGTAAAGACAAGCCTTGAGTATTTGTGAAGCAAATGTTTTTTTTTTCGTAGTTGATCTTTCAAGAAACATTTGAAGCTTCATTAGAAATGACTATGCCGATATGTTGATGTCAATATTTACCAGAGTCTTCATGACAACATTCTCTAATTTGTAAGAGATCATTTGACTTTCGGTTGTTTATCAACTCATTTTCGACTTGAAGTGTTTTGAGCTCATGAAGACTTATCGCATGACATTTCTTCATAGTTTGGTAATTTTATTTGGGTCATCAACTACAAAACGACCGCCAATTCGATGAGCAAGGATTGCGTCTACAAGCTTGACTTGGTGATACAGAGCTTGTGATTTCGACAAAAAATTTAGGCGCTGCTTTCTTTGGGGTTGAATGCCTTGCCAGTTTTTTTTTTTCTAAATCACTTGAATAAAATGCTAGGAATTCAAATTCTCATTGCGCGAGTCTATTCTCATTCGGGGTTTTTTTTTTTTTTTTACTCCCCATGTAGTTTCTGAGAAAACCTTACCATAATTTGGTTTCTATGAGATTTCCATAACTCGACTTCTTTGGAAAATTTTCATAATTTGATTCTTATGAAAACTTGCCATAGTTTGGTTTCTATGGAATTTCCATAATTTGATTCCCATGGAAAATTTTCATAATTTAATTCCTATGAAAACTTACCATAATTTGTAAGAACTAAACTTTCCATCATTATAATTTTCCATAATTTGTAGGAAACAAATTGATGTCTCCATGTATTGAAATCTATATATACCCACATTCACCCGGTGATTGTATATCGCATTGCCGCATCGTCAAGTTCAATTGAGACCTTCTCTCTCAACTTTGATTTTCGTCACCCTTTTTCAGCTCAGCGCGACTTTGGTAGGAAATTCATATCTCATTGTAGGGATATTGAAATCGTGATCCGTTTGATTTTCCAGAAATTAGACTCATAGAGCTACAATATATCCGAAAATCACGATCAGCCAACTCTCGGATTTACTCAGGTGATTTTTTTAACTCAGCCTAAAATTCTGATAAACTGAACGCATCAGTTTGGTGCGACTTCACGGAAAAATTCATATCTGGACGTAGGAATAACGAAATCACAAGCGGTTTGTGGTGTTGGAAAGTAAATTCATAAGGCTACATCATATACGAAAACCACGATTAGATTGCATCTGTGCTGATTCAGTTTTCTATTTGAAATCAGCCTTTCACCAACGGCAAAAATTTGAGGCTACCACCTTTATTTTGGGCATGTTCATACGAAACTGAACTTTTTCTTTTGTTTAATTTTTTTCACAGATATTTGATAGATAAATACGACTCCGATCCCGCAACATGATGCACTTCCGCGACCGAGATTCACCGCATCCTCTTCTTGAAATAGTGGGCGACGACCAACAAAATCTGAATGCCAAAGTTCTACTTTTGGAAGTTCAACCTCCTGCTATCGGCGTCTTCTCCCTTGTTAGTGGATACCAAAGATGTTATGAGAAACTTCTCGAGCAAGGCTACTAGCATGAAAGTTCCTTTACTGAAATCCGCGATTCATCATGACGCAGCATCTTCTAAATCTTCTCATTCTGATGGAAGTTTCAACAATTGGCGTGTTCCTTCTTCTAACTTTGGCAATGTTTGCTACACACCTGGCTACTGGGAATGGGTAGAGGACGTGCTGCCCCGCCACAAGGAGATTTTGGAGCTCATCAAGGTCTATGACGTTGTATATACTTCTTTGTTCACGTACGACTATGACGACAATGTACTCCATGCTTTTTGTGAACTTTGGTGCTCATCTACCAATACGCTTTCTACTTTCATTGGAGAGATGTCCATATCACTTTGGGACTTACAATCCATTGGAGGTCTCCCTGTACAAGGGCACTTTTATGACGAAGTCATTCCCTCGGCGAAAGAATTGACACAGACGGATACTCAAAAAGAATTGCTTTTTCCCCAAAGTTGTCGATATTTGTTTTCGGCCTTCTACAGATTAGCGAAAGATGATCTCCAGGAGGTGTCCGTCCATGATTGGGTGAAGTTTTGGTTTAGAGGACCTAATAGATATGCCGAGCCTCCGCAAAAGGTGTCAAAGGTACGAGCCACAAAGCCAAGATTAAATCACAATCCTTCTGGACATATTGATTCAAACTTCCTACCGCGGACTGACAAGGAGAATGCCCCCTTTGTCGAGTTAGATGTGGAAGAATCACTTAGAGATGAGACTAACTTGGCAGCCTTTTTTGCTTGTTGGCTTTGCAAATTTGTTCTTCCAAATAAGAAAGTCAACCATGTGCGCGCTAGTATTTTTAAAGTTGCGAGCTTGATGGCTCATGGAAAGAAATTCTCCTTAGCGGTCCCAGTTCTTGCAAGCATATATCGCGGCCTGAAAGAAATCTCTACTTCTTCAAACTTGAGTGTGGCAAATATAATTTTCCCCATACACTATGTATATGGTTGGCTTGGGGAATACTTTGGGACTCATCATCGTGCCAATCGTTCACATCGATCGATACATCTTTGCAAAATTTCTGGCGAGAAGATGGCCAAGTGTTTTAAGTTTACTGACGCCCAAAAGTTATTTCAACAGGATGATGCCCGTCGCCTCCATCATTTAGCAATGTTGCAAGGGAGGGATTTGCACCTTACTGATAATGGCAAGCTTTCAAATTCGTGGAACGAATATATCATAAGCCTTTGTTTAGGCTATGTAACCCTTAGGCATGATTCAAATTTCATCGTGGAGTCCTACAACCCTATCAAATTTAGTCGACAATTCGATTTTTGTCAATATGTTCCCGGAGATCTTGTGGAGCGTCCTTACGATGGTACACTATTAACATTGGTGCAACTTTGGAATTCCTCTTTTCGACTTAATACTTTTTCTAAAGTCATGATTCCAACGTGCCCATTAGAGGGTGCTCCTTTAATGACCCGCGAGTATGTAGACTGGTGGCCATCCCAAAGGATGAATACTTCCCAAGGAAACCTCCGCATCATTTTGAAGAAGACGAAGCAAGACTCTACATCCACTTCATCTAAAGAGGCTTCTGATCAATCAAAGGAAAAGGCACATCCTTCTTCCAAATCTCAAGTGAAGTCAAATGATACTCTGCAAGTCGCTAAGACCTCATCCAAGTCTAAAACCTCGAAAGATGGGGATGTGCCTGCGAAATCAAAATTGAGGCGTCTCACATTAGCCTCAAAGGCGACTTCACTTACTCCCGAAGTTGGCCATAGTTCTTCTGGAACAAATGAACTTCATGTATCATCAGACAATGGTAATGACCAAACGTCAAACCTTGAGACGCCTTGTGATGAAATTTCTCATATGTACGCTTCACCGGATGGTGTTAGACGACCCAATGCATCTCCTAGTCCAACGGATCGTCACTGGAATCGTCCAAAAAGAAAGGCACAAGAACTAGATGATATTTGTTGTGGTATTGATATTTTAGATACAATTGTCATTGATACGGCTGCAAAAGATTTTCATTCTTCCATTAATGACGTGATGCCTTAATTGGAAGTAGTTCCACCAAGAAAGTCATCTTCTAATGACGTGATTCCTTCATTGAAAGTAGCTCCACCAAGAAAGTCACCAAGTAGGCCATTGCGACCTGATGCTCCTACTTTTGAGCCGCAAGAAACCATTTACCGCGCCAAATCTACCTTTGTTTCTGAGATGTGGGGCACATTGTGTGGATGGATTACACAATTTTCCTTAGGTTCTTCAAATGGCTTTACAGAATTGGAGTCAAGTATCGCTTCAACTCTTGAGGAGATTAGATTTTTTTATTTATTTGCTTAGGATTTTCTAATTCGCTTATTATGGTGTAGTGGTTCTTTTTTGAAGCAATAAAATAGTGACTTATATTTCAATAAGAATTTTCTCCTCTTGAATTTTGATTGTTTCTTTCCACGAGCCCCTTTTCCTTATTAAAAAAAGACTCCATAAGCTAGCGTTTATATGAGGATAGCAACAAAACGTTAACTTTTCAGCTTTCTTCAGCTTTGTGCACGTGAGGTAGAAAATTCATAACGTGGGGTAGGAGCACCGGAATAATGAGCTTCTTTTTTTATTGGAAAGATAACTTCGAGATCCTCAATCTATATAAAAATCACGTCCATAGGATTTACGGATTAATACAGATTTGTCTCCAAAGTCAGCTCGAAATCCGCGTGCTTGAATTTTCAGCCTTCTTCAGCTTTGCGCACATGTGGAAGAAAATTCATAACGTGGAGTAGGAGAGCCAGAATAATGAGCTTCCTTTTTTGTTGGAAAGACGACTTCGAGATATTCAATCCATATAAAAATCACGTCTATAGGATTTACGGATTAATACATATTTATCTTCAAAGTCAGCTCGAAATCCGCGTGCTTGAATTTTCAGCTTTCTTCAGCTTTGCGCACATGTGGAAGAAAATTCATAACTTGGAGTACAAGCACTGGAATAATGAGCTTCTTTTTTTTGTTGGAAAGACGACTTCGAGAGCTTCAATCCATATAAAAATCACGTCTATAGGATTTACGGATTAATACAGATTTTTCTTCAAAGTCAGCTCAAAATCTGGGTACTTGAATTTTCAGCAGGAAGAAAATTCATAACTTGGAGTAGAAGCACTGGAATAATGAGCTTCTTTTTTTCGTTGGAAAGACGACTTCAAGAGCTTCAATCCAAATAAAAATCACGTCTATAGGATTTACGAATTAATACAGATTTTTCTTCAAAGTCAGCTCAAAATCTGGGTACTTGAATTTTCAGCTTTCTTCAGCTTCGCACACATGTGGAAGAAAATTCATAACGTGGAGTAGGAGAGCCGGAATAATGAGCTTCCTTTTTTGTTGGATAGACGACTTCGAGATCTTCAATCCATATAAAAATCACTTCTATAGGATTTATGGATTAATACAGATTTGTCTTCAAAGTCAGCTCGAAATCCGTGTGCTTGAATTTTCAGCTTTCTTCAGCTTTGCGCACATGAGGAAGAAAATTCATAACGTGGAGTAGAAGCGCTAGAATAATGAGCTTCTTGTTTTGTTGGAAATACGAATTCGAGAGCTTCAATCCATATAAAAATCACATCTATAGGATTTACGGATTAATACAGATTTGTCTTCAAAGTTAGCTCAAAATCTGGGTGCTTGAATCTTCATTTGAAAGAATTAGCATGATATTCACATGGTTTTTTTATTATTATTCTTATGACTGAACCTAGAGTAATAATACTCTAAGCTGCCTACGTACCTCAGTGAAGAGGATCAAGTCATTACGTAGTTCAGAGAGTGAATTTTTTTTTTTGTGTCCTAACTTTTGCCTAGGCCGCCTCTTTCGAGATTTTCAACCTAGCGGACATTTTATTCTTTTTTTTTGGTTTTTTTTGGAGCCGTACACAATTTATACTCTTGCGGGACAGGAGTAAGACGCCGCTTCAAGGATAGTACTTCTTTAAGAATTTTCCGTTGATGGGACCGATCCGCAAGCCATCTGCATCCACAATTTTGTAAGCTCTGCTTGAATAGACTTCTTGAATGACATATGGTCCATCCCATTTTGATGTGAACTTGCTTTTCTATTTATGAGATATGATAATTGGTCTTCTTACCGCAAGGACTTGATCACCGACTTGGAAAGACCTTAGGCGAACCTTTTTATTGAAAGCCCGAGAAAGACAAGCTTGATAACACTCAAGACTTTGTTGAGCTTCCAACCTTTTCTCATCGAGAGAGTCTAACTCTTCAAGGCGCAGACAAGCATTTTCTTCTTCAGTAAGTCCTTCTTGGATGGCATGCCTCAATGACGATATTTGTCGTTCAAGTGGAAGGACTGCTTCAATTCCAAAAAACAAGAGAATAGGGAGTTGCTTTAGTCGGCGTGCGACGAGTCGTCTTGTATGCCCAAAGAGCTTCTTCCATTCTATCATGCCAATCCCTTTTAGATTTGGAGACGACCTTCTTTAACAAGTTGCACAAAGTCTTGTTAAATGCTTCAGCTAGTCCATTTGCAGCAGCATAATACATTGATGAATTACGTTGCTCGTAGCCAAAAAGGTCGCAGATCTTATCCATCAATTTATTGGTGAATGGCTTTCCATTAACTGTTAGTATATAACTAGGAATGCCAAAACGATAGATGATGTTCACCCTGATGAAGTTTGCAACATTTTCCTTCTTTACTTCTTTGAGGGCTACAGCCTAAGCCCATTTTGAGAAGTAATCTGTCGCAGCCAAGATGTACAAGTGACCACCAGAAGATTTAGGTAGTGGTCCAACCACGTCTAGCCCCCAAGCATCAAATGGCCAAGATGCAACAGTCGAATGTAATACTTCAGGAGGTTGGTGCATAAAGTTTGCATGAAATTGGCATGCTTGACATCTTCGAGCATAATCCAAGCAATCTTTTACCATTGTTGGCCAATAATACCCCATTATTTTTATATGAAAGTGTAACTTGGGTCCAGATTGATGTGATCCACAAACTCCAGAATGTGCTTCTTGCATAGCTTGAATCGCTTCTTTTTCCCCCAAACAACGCAAGAGGACTCCATCGAATGATCTTCGATATAGAGTATCTTTGTAGTAAAGAAGCCTAGGAGCACGACGACGAATTTCAGTCCTTTTCTTTCGATCTTCTGGAAGTATATTGTAACACAAGTAATCAATCAGAGCATGTCTCCAATCGACTATCTCAGCCTGTGAGACAGCTACAAGATGTTCAAATTTTCTTTCTTCATCCACATCTGGTGGTACTATCCATTTTTGGCAGATAGTGATTTGCGCTTGATTAGGCAAAGTTAAAGTTGAAGTCAAAGCGGCTAAAACATCAGCTTTCTTATTCTCCTTTATTGGAACATGTTGAAAAGTTACATCTCCGAGCCATCTAATCAATTTTTGTGCATAGTCATGATAGAGACGCAATTCTAGCTTTTTGACTTCATAGCTACCCAACAATTGATTGATCACTAATTTAGAGTCTCCAAAAACTTGTAATTGCAATTGCTTCATACCAACCGCCATTTCAAGCCCAAGTATTAAGGCTTGATATTCTGCAACATTATTGGAGCAACATTGCGTTAAGGTGAAGGAATACGGCAAGATCTCCTCTCGATAAGTGACAAATATTACCCCAGCTCCAGCTCCTTCGCGATGTGAGGCCCCATCAAAATACATCTTCCAAGGCGGTTGAACTTCAACAACCATTGCATCTTCATCAGGTAATTCATCAGTGAGTTCCCAATCATCAGGTATCGGGTAGTCTGCTAAGAAGTCTGTCAATGCTTGCCCTTTTACTGCCTTTTGAGGAACATACACAATTTCAAATTGCTGAAACTGGAGATACCATCTTGCTAGTCGATCATTGAGGACAGGTTTCAACATCACAAATTTGATGGGGTTGGCTTTAGAAATAAGACGGACGACGTGAGCTTGAAAGTAGTGTTTCATCTTCTGAATTGAGAAGACTAAGGCCAAACATAGCTTTTCGATTGGCGAGTACTTCAACTCATTTGGTGTCATCATCCTACTCAAGTAGTAAAGGGAATTTTCTTTCCCTTTGCCATTCTCTTGGGCTAAGAATGCTCCCACTGATCTTTCTTGAGCTGATATGTAAAGTATCAATGGCTTTCCAGGAACAGGAGCTACTAAAACTGGTGGTTTTATAAAGTAAGACTTGATGCTCTCAAAGGCATTACTACAAGCTTGGTCCCATTCGAAAAGAGTGCCCTTTTTCATAAGGCGGCTGAATGGTTGGCACTTTCCTGCTAGATTCTAGATGAATCTCCTAAGATATGCTAGTTTCCCTTGTAGACTCTTCAATTCATGAATGTTTCTTGGCTCTACCATCTTCAGAATTGCATTTCATCTTGTGTAGTGACATGATATGAAGAGCCAACACTTTCTTTATCTTCATCACGTTGCTTGGTGTAGACCACAACATGTGACTTTGCCTTTAATACTTCTCCACATGAGACCACAATGTTCGTCTGCCGTCTCATTCTAGAAGGGATTAGACTTTGAAAGTCTTTAAGAGCATTTTGAGATTTTGGTAAAGCAGATGCTTGAATACTCTTGCTATTTCTCCAAACCTTGTTTTTCTTCCTCAATGGCCCTAACCTTTCAAATACAGAAATCCTCTTCGTTGAGCTTCCAAGTCGGTCAAAGACAAAAGGCCTTTTGTTAGAATTAGTAGACTCATCTTCCACAGTTATGTAGTTGTTGCTTACCCTTTTTATGGAGATGCGGATAGGTGGAGGTTGTTTGTAGCCCAAGCCTTCACGTTGTTGCCTCATAGCAGGTTCTGATGGAAGCTTCCCCAATTTTGACTGTCGTTTGGATCGAATCCAGCTTTTGCTAGCAGCCTGTAAGCATTAGGATCAAAACCTTCTTCTGTACTCTTCATATAGGGGTGACTTAGGGGCCACAAATTTTCCGTGAAGTAATGACTTAGGAGCCACAGACTTCCCAAGTAATTTTGTGGATGACTTCACCGTATCAATTCGTCTTACAGGAAGGGTCAACCCTTCCAGCGCATTTTCTCACAACTCGAGAGAGTGTCCTTTGTCCTCCTTTGCCTTTGGGACATAACGAAGAATGGGTGTGACCTTTTTACTTGAAAAGGCACCAATCACGTTAGGCATCTTGTTTGGATTGCCAAGCTTTGAATCTTTTTTGTTTGCGACTTTTGCCTTACCGACCGCTACCTTAGCCATATTGTTAGGGAGTCCGACATCTCCAGATGCAATGGCATCGACTTTTATGGAATATTTCTTCAAGTAAAACTTTGCGTCAGCAAAGTGAGCTTCAGCTTCAGTGAATGGATTATTATCCGCAATAACCCTTTTTGCAACCTCATCCTCATAATACTTCAAACATTGGTGGTAGGTAGATGGGATTACTTTGTTCTCATGTACCCACGGCCTACCAAGCAAAATGTATATGAAGTCTTTGCATCAATTACATGTAACCACACGCTTGATTGCAACTCTCCGATGGTAAGGTCTATTTTTACGGTAACTATGGACCTTTGTCCTCCTTGATTGAATCATAGGATCATCAAGCGACTATCAGTAAGATCTGTTGTTGATATTCCAAGTTCTTTCTTTGTGCGAATTGGAAGGATGTTGATTCCAGATCCTCCATCGACAAGGATTCTATTCACCCTTTTCTCACGTGCAAAACCAACCATGAATAAAGGGCGATTATGAAATGTGTCACCAAACAAAATATCATTGTCAGAGAATGTGATTTTGGCCATACATGCATTTTCGACTCCAGGAGATGACTGTGGAGCATCTTTTGGTGATGGACATGATGGATTTTCAACTTTAGGAGACAGCTTTGGAGCATCTTTTGGTGATGAACATGATGGGGTTTTATCTTTCGCTTCTTTTTCATCGACATTACAACATAGAGCTTTTGTACCATCGCATGTGAACTTGGTGTAACACCAATTTGGCAAATATTCTCCTAATGTAACGGGTCTCCACAGCTCTTGGTAGTGGTGCACCTTTATTTCCTTCTTCTTTGAATGCACGATCAAAGTTTTGGTTTTGGGTCTCCTTACCATCTTTTCCCTGACGTGTTGCTCTGTTGACTCCTTGTACGAACTCACTTTTCTGTGTCTACGGCGAGTCACAAGAGTCCAGCCCCAATCATCAAAATCATCTACTAGGTCTTCATCTTGTCTTGTTGATCCCTCTCCTACAGAGGCCACATCACTTAGTATAGGAAGAGATAACAAATTATTTACTTCAATGGGCTCAAAGTCTCCAAACTTAATCATTCTTGTCTGATTGGTGTTTGGAATGTCTTGCTCCATATTTCCTTCAACAAAATTGCAGGTCATGACCGGATTGGGTAAGTCAGAAGCGACACTAACTTGGTTTGAACTCAATTTCTCATCTTCAAGTTCAATCTTCCCTTCGCGAGCTAAGTCCATGATTTTATCCTTGAAGATGAAGCATTTCTCGATAGGGTGTCCAACCAGCCGGTGATTTTGCAGTATTTTGGATCATCACTCCTCCCTGCTTCATCTGGTCATTTCATCTCTAGTAACTCAAAAAGTTTCATCTCAATGAGTTCATCAAAGATTGCGGAAACATCTGAGTTAAGAAATGTGTAGTCCTTCCGCTGTATTTCCTTCAAGGTGAGCTTTTGATTTGTCCTTCCTTCAAAAGAATTCACTTTTGCGCTCTGCGTATTGCCTACCCTTGTGGTGAATTTCACATGAGAGGCATTGACGTTCATGGATTCTTTGTTTTCAGTCTTTGGCAAGTATTTTCCCACTTTCTTAAATTCTTGCCTTTCTTTGACTTTGCGGAGTTCATGGACAGGTGGTGCTTTAGTTCCGATCGACGACATGCTCAACTCCATATCATGAGCGCGAGTGGCCAACTCTTCAAAAGTTTTAGGCTTTATACCTTGCAAAATATAGCGGAGACCCCAATGCATACCTTGAATGCACATCTTTATCCCCGAAGCTTCACTAAGTCTATTTTTACAGTTTAGACTTGCATGCCTCCATCGGTTAATGAAGTCAAAGACTGGTTCTTCATTTCGCTAACACGTGTTTGTAAGTTCCACCATGCTTACAGTACGTCTTGTGCTATAGAAGCGGTTGAGAAATTCTTGCTCCATTTGTTCCCAATTACCAATGGAACCAGACTCAAGGTCCGTGTACCAATCAAAAGCATTGCCCTTAAGGGAGCGGACAAATTCTTTGACGAGGTAATCGCCGTATGTTCCAGCATTGTTGCAGGTTTCAATGAAGTGCGCCACATGTTGCTTTGGGCTTCCCTTACCATCGAACTGCTGAAACTTTGGAGGTTGATAACCGGCAGTCATTTTCAAACTATCAATCATTGCAGTGTATGGCCTTGCATATGTCAAGGAGGATTTTGTAGCAACCTCGTACTTGTCTTTGATGGTACCCATGATGAACTCCCTGATTTGGTTGATCGGGATTGTTCCTTCCAAAGAAACTTGGATCTCTTTAGCATATTCAACTTGCTTTGTGGGGCGATCGACCGTCTCTTGGACTTGCAGACGTTTTCCCGGTGCATGACTTGATTCTTCATCCATCATGTCCTCCACCCTATCAGTTAGCTTAACAATTCGAGCATCTTGATCTTGAACATACTTGGTCAAGCCTTCAATAGCTCTTGTCAAGCTCACAAGTTGTTCTTCTACGAATGAAGCGTTAGTCACCATTGCGTGCATTACCATAGTAGGTGGCGGAGAGTAGTGTTGATTTTCCTTAACATGAGATGCAAACATGTTATGTGGGGTAGATCCCATGCTTAAGACATCATTGTCAGCCGAAGCGATGGACTTCTCGTATGTAGATGGGCTCAATTGGGCAAGAACCCTCTCGACCATTTCGGCGATGTTTTCCTTTGCAGCTTTTGCAGGAGACTTCACATGTTTTGGAGACAAACCAAAGATAGTAGTAGATTCGGACGACACTCGTGAGGCTTGTTGTCCCAGCAATTTGGCTTGGTTCCTTGTGATAGGTCTCATGCTTCCCGCAGTAACATCGAGGATGTTTTCGACATCGACGCCGAACTTGGATCCATCAGATTTTGCAGATGCATATGTGAATACAAATGCAGATGCGGATTTCGATGCCGATGCAGATGGAGATTTTGATCCAGATGCGAATACGGATGTAGATCCAGATTTGGATGCAAATGCGGATTTCGAGTTGATCTTCTTGCAAGTCATCTCGGTGTTTTTGAACTTTGGTTGTCTTGAAGAGAAGAGATGAGAGGTAAAGATTGTCCCACTGGGCGTGCCAATTTGTAAGCGTCTAAAGTTTCAATCCTAAAATACAGTAAACAGGAAAAGAAAAATAGCAAGCAAACAATAATATTTGTATTTGAATAAATGCGAAGGTTACAATCTTTATAAAATCTCTTAAAAAAAGATATGTAATCCCCTTATTCTTCTCTCCACAGATGTTCTTGATTTGGCGGAATACTTGGAGCGAAGACTTCTTTGTACCCGGAAGACTTGCAGATCACCAATGAAGAGCAACTATGTATTTCTGTGTGTATGTATGTGTGTCTCTCTTTTGGTCTTATGAAGACCTCTTTATATAAGCTTGAGGTAGGACTTTAGGGGTATTTTGGTCCAAGCAATTTTGACCCCTGGGCCTGAAGAACATGAGTTGGGCTCATCTTGTCAATTTAATGGACTGGCCCAAATGTTATTTGGACTTGATTTAAGTCATATAATTCTGACATAAATATTAATCCGACTTTATTAACCAGTAATTTGACTTGATCAACATATCATGAATTTAAGATTTAATCCAAATTTAGTATGGATTTATCAATAAAACTTCACTGTCTACAGTTAGTTGGGTCTTGTCGAGGTAAGGTCCTGAGTCCAAGGTTGGGGATGGGATTAGGGTCGGGTCTCGAGTTGGAGTCGAGCTTGGGCCTCGGGTCAAGTTGTAACAAGGGTCTGGGTCACAGTATTTTCCTTTATTACACCTAAATATTTTTGGGATAATATTTTTTCTTTACCAAAAGAACACCGAAAAATAAGTTAGAAATATCCCTTATTTTTCAAGAAATTTTTAATAGACAGTTCAATAAATAGGTTTAAAAAATCCACTGGTTTCGTTATATCTAATAGACAGAGTTCAATAAATATTTTACAAAGATTAAAAGTGATAACTTTTGACTAACTTAAAAAATCAAAATTGTTAAGTGCATACTTAAGCGACT